AAACAAACAAGTTTATGGTTTATGCTTGCAGTAAAATACTTTCTTGAGACTGAGCCTTCATTAAGTGCATATTCCCTATTTGGATAAATAAAACCAGCACTTAGGGGAGAAAGCTTTGGTCTCTCAGAGAAAATGGAGTGCTGATTTTTAGCTGAGAATTTCTAAAAGCTATGATGACAGCACTATCAGCAATTTTATTTCACAGTAATACCCCCCAATTATTTGTACCCAAATTGTTTGCAAGACTTTAGAAAGCATAACATAAAAAGACTTTTAACAGAATTGCAAACAAGCTTGTGTTTCGCTGTTTTGCCCAGAATAAGAGAGAGACTTAAATAAAAATTGCAGTTTGCTTACTATTTCTGGCCCATTTTTGTGGTCACTTGACCTAACCACTTTCCGTCTCTTTGCATCATGGTTTGGCTCCGTTTTCCAGAACTGTCTCCCAGACTGCCAGGCCCAGGAATCTGCTCTTTTAAGAGCACAGCTCTGCAAAATCCCAGTTCGAGATGGCCACAATGGAGAAAATTATAGCTGCCGCTACCAACTTATGCATTTATGTCCTGCTTTCCCACAGGCAAAGGCCAACACCAGAACTTTCACGGCAACGGTCATGGAAGAGTAGCTCAGATAATCTACAGATCACTTCGAAAACAAAGGCGTGTTGCCTACATTAAATAAGTAAAGAAAATTCAAGTGCCGTCTGCTTTAAGGTTCCATTAGGTAGAAAAAATGTCAGTGTACGGTTAATTACTGGCAACGTAGTGGAAAAAAAGGAAAAGGGCTTGCAATGGCCAGTTGTTTTGTGCTGTATTTGTTTATGACTCTCAGCCTCTCATGGATATGTACACGTTGACAAATTTATCACATGTGACACTCTCCCCCCTCCTCCCATCTGTTTAATGTGGAGGAAAATTACTGTTGCACTATAAAGATGCACTTTTTTTTTTCCCTCCCCTAAATCATCTGTAACTCAGAATTAGGAAGCAACTAATTCTCAGACAAAAAGACACAATACAAAAACTAATCCCCAGCCCTCCATCAGCAGGTAGGGACGCTCCTGTCTCGGGTCAGGTTTGTGAACCGGTTAGCGAGCAGGCGGGTGGCACCTGTGGATGGAGAAGAGCCTTGCTGAGGGACGGTGAGCGATGACCGGGAGGAGCGGGGGCCTTGCAGCCCGTGTGAGGCACCTAGCGTGCAGATGTGTGCATTCACTTAATTTGCCTTATTGTGGGCACGCTGCCCGCCGAGCAAAGGGGTGCGGCAAGCATGCTCCTCTGAAGAGACTGGAATCCATGCCTTCCTCCCGTGGGACCGCAGTGTAACCACCACGCTCACAGGTACGCCGGGGTGGATACAGGTCTTTCTGTCCGCTGCTGGTGCGGGACGCGGATGCAGTCGGGACCTGCGGTATGCTCGCGCAGCGCTGCTCCTCCGACACGTCTTGACCGTGGTGCTCCAGCTGAAAGATGCCCCATAGAGCGGGGCAGGGCAGGGCAGCCCCGAGACCACAGCAGCGGACTGGCTGGCTGGCAGCGGCTGCTCTCTCCTGCACACCACGGTTTGGCAGCCCCGTGTGCCAGCTCAGCAGCCACCCCAGGACCCATCTCCGAGCGAGGACGCCAAGCAGGAAACCCCACGCAGCAGGGGGGGCAGGGGAGAGAGAGAGATGTGGGGACAGGGGGAGGTTTGATCACGGGAGGTAAAAGAAATAGGATGCTGGCTGTTCGAAGGCATGTGATGCATACCCTCACCCCTCTCCCTCCCTCCCTGACTTGGGCATTTTGACCTCAATCTGAGCCTCCGATCACCTCTGTGCAAGAAAGAACGACCACGCTTCCTCTAGACTTCCACAGCGTGTGCGTGTGTCGAGTACTAAAAGAAAAACTGCCATATCCAGATAGCCTACAATGAAAGGAAGCCAGAGCGAAGAAAAGCTCTTCAGGAAGGACGTTCTCTTCTGTATTTAGAGGCACAATGCATATTGGCAGTATTATGACTCTCATCTCGGTGTGTTCCTGCAGGACGGCAAGCGCGAAAATCTTTTGACAAGACTGAACTGCCCGGAGGGCACTCATTGCCCCGTTTCAGTTAATATTAATGAAAATTAAACACGCGGATTGCAAACTTCTTCCTTACAGTTTCAAAATGTATAAGTGAGCCTGATAACATTGTTACCATTTACCACAAAAATGGCAAATAGCTATAAACAGGATTTTTCTATTAATACGGCTGATTTTCTAAAAATCCAACAGCAACCTGCTCTTCCCAAAAAGCCGAATAGCTTGAGGCCTCCTCCCCCACCGCAAAAGCAAAGTATGCTCTTCCTTAAAATATCTGCTCTTTGTTACAATTAAACAATGAGTTCAAAGTCAGTAGGGAAAAGAATTTTATTTCTAAACCTCTAAAAGATTAATACAAACAATAAAAAGTAGACAAAATTAAAAACATATTAAAAAAGTTAGTTGTCCTTGTAAAAGCGCTCTATAAAAAACTGAAGGCAAATGACCAAGCACATTTCAGTAAGTTTTGTGTATTGCAAACCTTGACAATTACGCATGCAACTATCTTTGGGTGTTCATGGATTTCTAGTGTCTGTTTGGTCACATTTTAAACATGTCAAGGAAATTCCACCACGGCAGTACCTTTACAAACACAAATTGGGAGAAGTATTACACATGAGAAGTCCTGTAAGAAGCAGCCTTAGGAATCAAGCCTGTGCTACACGTTGTGTCCAGCAGTTTCTAGTATGTGTCATTTATGGACTTAGATGCACTTGAAAAAAAACCTGTAGTTCGTTCCAGGTCTTGCTAATGGAAGCAAAATTGGCCCTGGGAACATTACTGCAGTACTATTAGCATTTAGTTTTATACTTTAACAATTCACTTTTTGGATGTTTTATTTTGGAAAAGACAAATAGTTTTTACTATCATTCCGGTGTAACAGTTTACCAAGATAGGAGTAAATAATTCAGTAAAAATTCATGTTTTTCTTTTCTAAAATGTAAACTTCTCAAGTAATATTTGTGCAGTTAGCATAGTATAGTAACAATGGCAATGATTATGAAAAGAATAAAAGTCACATAAAAACTTCAATAAAATTAGCAAAAGATAGTGAAGTACGGATACAAAAGAATGAACAGGTAAATATCTAGGACGTTGTTTTAGCCACACAAAAGTTAGGACACAGAGAGAGACTTTTCTTGTGAAGGAAGGCAGTTGTTATTCATGTCATGCTTGAAGGCAACTCTCCGATGACCTTCCCTAGAAGAGGAAAAAAAGGTTTATTAAATGCTGTCTTCCTAAGCTGATACATTTCTCATACAAATTATAACACAAAAGCTCCTTTGCACTGATAAAAACTGAATAACCTTTGTTGGATGCTGGCATCCTTGAACATTAACTTTTTAACTGGCTTTTTGACTTTGCTTTCATTTTTTATGATCCTGGAAATAACTAAGTAATAATAAACCAGATAATTGATCTATCAGCAAAAGATGACTACATGACATCTTGGGCTGAGCTATGCGTTTCTAGAAGTATCATAAATGAACCATCAAACTTGTTTGAGAAAATATATTGTATCCTGTCTGGATGATGCAATCAAACTTGAATCCTAGAAATACATACCTATACACACAGAGACACACACACACAAAAAAAGTAGAAATGCTGCTTCAATAACAGAAGAACACATGCAACAGTCACTATCAATTTTATTTGCAGGAAGAATTTAAGGGTAGCACCTAAATTAAGAAAATCTGCTTGTGCTTTCCCCCCCCAAGAAGTTTCTCCAGAAGAGCATCGCATGCTTGGTCGTTCTCTCTCTTCAGGTTCAATCCTGTTTTGTCAAACTTATGTAGAAACAATCAAAACCACGCTATCGAAAGAGGGAGGCACAAGCACAACTGCAAGCTCAGGAACCCTGGCAGCAGGGAGGGGATGATTTCACAACTAGTTTATGTTCTAGTTTAAATGCTGCCCTTACAGAGAACAGTCACTTTGACTTCGATAGCATTCTCGAAGAAGAACAGAATTCAGTGGTTCTTCCTCTCTCTGTAGTTTTTTCAGCTCTTTAGCAGGAACTCTTTTTATTTTTTCTTCTAAAGAAGAGTAACCCCTTCTGAATATCCTACTTCCACATTCGTTTGTCATGCAGAAGAAATAAGATTTTCCAACAAAAGTTATGGCGTGATCCTGACTGAGACGACTAAGGACACACAGCCTTTCTTCCTCCTGCTGCAGTCCCTGACATCTGCGTGACAGATGGGAGAGACAAGAGATCCATCCGTCATGGAGCTGGATCCCCACGATTTGCAAACGCTGGACGGTCACCCACCCTGCAGGCGTTAGGCAGGTGCAAGCAATGCAGAGCACTAACGCAGGCAGAGTTTAGGAAGCGTCTCATCCTTCAGACCCGTGCTGAAAAGGGTGACAAAGGATGCGATCACGGATTGCCTCAGCCTCTCTGCTTCCACCGCTTTTGGTGCGGTACCAGCAGTAACAACACAAAGAGCCTAAGGACAGACACAGCCAAACGAACGGCAATACGACGCTGAAGAAAAGATGTATTTTAACAAGGTTCTTGCTTCAGCGGTGAGCTAGTCATCAGAACACATGCAGCTGCCATGGCTTTGTCTTACTTCTTCAAGCTGGGTACATGACTGCTTTTAATGTCCAACACAGCCGTGTGTCACAGACAGTTCTTATTATTTTGGATGCTGCTAATGACCCTAGAGCTGCTCCAACACAAAAACCGACCAACTAAACAAAAAATGAACTCATAAACGTAACACCTCTAGAAAGAGCTGTAGGAAAGAGACATGCTTCAATTGCCACACCTAAAAGAAACAGAAAACAATTTGTAGAGCCGTCAGGGAAGCGATGAACACTTTGCTACCAAGAACTCGACATTCAAACACCACGTGCCCCTGCCCCTCCTAGCGCTTGAGTTTCAAACCAGAGTTGGTGTCGTGGTATCTGTGATGTTCTTACCTGGTTTCAGAGCAGAGCACAGGATCGGGGTTCTCGAAAGGGATTGCTCCCCGCAGGAACGCCAACAAGCAAGGCATCTTTGCAGGCATTTTGCATACAGTACTGCTGGAGTTCTGCAGCTGCCTGAGAGACCTGTGTAAAGGAAAAAGAAAAACAAATCCAGAGAGGAAACTAATTCATTCACAAGCATCTATTAGGCGTTTCCTCTTGAAGAACCATTATCAAACAGAGTTGGAGAGCAGCCAAGTCAGCTCTTGGATTCTAAACCACCGAGTAAATCAGCACAGAGGTACACTTACAAAGCTCCAATGAAACACGCATGAAATACTATGCCAGTGATGAGCCAGAGGAGCGTAGAGGACTGAGGTGCAAGTGCAATGGAATTTGTCCTCATTAAAACGCACAGGGCCGTGGCCACAATATTTTCCAATCTACTGTACTGTTTTCAGGTTTATATTTGAATTCTTATATCCTCAGATAATTTATAAAAAGGATTTTCATTCCAAACTGTTAAGCAACACAGAGCATAACAAGGAATGAAAGCAAAAAGATGAGGATGAAAAGCTTTTTAAGTCCAAATTGCCACCTTCCCCTGGCAGTGAAGTGAGAGCTTCAAGTCCACACTGGCCCCCAAAGAGGACAGCCCAGAGCTGCAGAACAAGCCCAGGAACCCAAAGGCAAGATGCCTCCAGCACTGAACTCCCCTGCTCTCCCTGTGGACGGCAAATCAGTCGCGTGCCTGTATTTTTGAAGGAAAACAGAGGGGAATTCCCAACTTCTCAGACATGCATCGGTAACAGCTGCAGGGAACTGTCCAAATCCATGCCATCTGCTGAATTTTTTATAAAAGGAAGTACTGAGCATAGTGGTGGGAGCACAAGTTCCCCTCTGACCTCACCTCTGCCTTCGTTACAGGACCCCTGAAATACTGATTTTTCTTCCCACGCAACTTTGCGGTGTGGCCAGCAGAGGGACGAGTCAATAGCCAGAAGGACCATCCACGCTTCCCAGCCTCCCGATGGAAGGGGCGACCCAGAAGCCCCGATGGGATTCTGGTTCTGGGCCGCCCCATCTAACAGCATCTGGAAGCGCCTGGGAAATCCGGCCTGGCGCACAGTTTCGTTTGCTGTTTCGCTGCTGTCCTGTTCGCCACCTCCCAATTCTCCTCCAGGACATGCAACCTGGTAACCACCCGAATTTACCCGGCAGCTGTCAGCGTTTCAGGGAGTTGTTAAGAGCAGCATTGTCCCCACAGCCTCCCAGGTTCTCTTAAGCGGCGTACAGGGAGAAGGATCAGGATCAGCAAGGATCCCTGCTGGTCACTGGGCTTTGTCACTCCTCCCTTTCTTGAGGAGAACCTCTTTCTGGAGGCTGCAAAGGTCTCCCACCCTGGCCAGCCCCTCGGACCCCCTGCAGCATTAGCACCCTTGCCTCAGCCGCAGTGCTGGTACGTGACCATGCACCACAGGGCTCTCAGGCAGAGGGGCCACTTGCCAACACCTATCAGGCCAAGGCTGCGTCGAGCTTTTTCCTGGGAAAACGAGGAGAGAGTCGTTCAGGGCAGGGCTTGCCCCGTGAGCACAGCAGTTAGCAGTTCCTCGCTGCGTCTCCTTGCACTTTGCTGCTGAACTCTGCAACACGTACTGAGCTATGAGTATCCCAGGGCTCCTGGAAAGATACAAGCCCGATTTTTGGCATCTGCGTGAGAATTATCCGTACGGCAGCAGACTGTTGTCCTAGGACAGATCTGCCTACTCCTCGCCCTACCTATGCCCCTGTAACATTCTTCACTCCTGCAGTTCACACAGAAAGTACAAGGGCTTCTGCCGTATTTCATCACAGGACAAACACGCTCCTGCGGCAGCCTCCTGCGTGCAAGATACGTGTGGGTACTTCTTTCCTACTTGGTTTCCTCTTTCTGAAAATATTGTTCCTGTCTGCTTTTTTAGCTGGCAGGGTAAACAAAATCACCACGGGAACTTTGTAGTATGGGATGTATTTTTAACAATCCTTTCATATCCAGCTTCCGTCTGAAAAACACATTGTCTATTCAAAGTAGCCAAAACAACGTTTTCTCCTATCTCTGTGTCTGCTAAAACTGATCCAAGTGGGTTTTCACCAGCTGAATATATTCCTCGCTGTTTTTACACTGTATGTCAAGAGACCCTAGATGACGCTTTTTATAAGACATATTTTTAATCGTGCATTATTTCACTTGTGATTATAAAAAGACACAAACAAGTTCCTAGAACAGCAGACCTGGAAAGAGACTGCTGTGCACAATGCTGCAAGGAAGGCGAGACCAAGGTCTTAACCAAGGCCAAGCCTCCCCCGAGAGCAAGCAAACCCGTAACACGTAGCCTTGAGAGGTCCAGCTCCAGAATATGTTACCACCACAAAGTAACCCCCAATAAACTACAAACTCTATCTTTCATACCCCCTCCCCACGCCCAAAAAAAGCAGGGAAGGGGTATATGCCTCAAAACGAGCAGGAACAGAGATCCAGGCTACTGCTGGTGGAATAAAGCAATCGTTTCTGCGTCAGACAATATCCCTCTTGCCACAAGGGCCCACATTTCTACTCTGCCTTGTGCTGTTTCTCACAGATCCCCACACATCATTGCAGTGATAAACTACAGTCACTTCTAGCGAAGGAAACATCTGCCGACTCCGTACCTGCTAATAAAATTTAGTAACATTAATGAATTGAGTAGGGTGATGTCCAAAAGCCATAGTGGTTTCACCTTGCAATGGGCACTTCAAATTTCCACCGACCCCGGACAGGAATAGGGAAAAAAGGTATTCTAAATTATTTTTAAATCAATTAGCGAAGTTCCTGCAGCTCAATATACTGGCACTGCCGTCAGACTGAGGAAGCTGGCCTTTTGTGACTGGCCAGAGAAAAATGGCGAATGCACGGAGGTGATGAGAGAAGAGGAAAGCGCAGGATGCAAATTAATTTGACCTTCATCGCTTCACAGCCTATGCTGGATTTTGTGCGTGGCTGGAAAGAGCCGTTTTCACGAGGCAGTTGGGGGCCCCCCCCCCCCCCCCCACCCCGGCACCAAAAC